GTCTCTCTTTCCTACTGTGCAGCGCCTCTAATGTAAGTAACCTAATGCTGCTGGAAGCCTGGTCGATTATTTTCTAATTAAACTCGAACTTACCACTATCACTACCACTATCAGAAAAAAATCTGTAACTCCCAAGTGGAAATCATACCTTGCGAAAAGGGTCATCGTGAGATATCTGTGCAAAATCATTTTCAAAATTTGTCGACAATGCATCCCTGTGATGTGTCTATTCTGCTAGCGTCGACCCATTCATCGAGGCGTCTATTTAATACAGGTTTAAATAGACGCCTCGATGAATGGGTCGACGCTAGCAGAATTTCTGAGACTTTCCACATTTTTGTTTTGTACAATTTCGTTTTGACGCTAATTTCATAGTAACATGTAAGTTAATTCAGTGTTTTTTGTTTTAGCCAAACTTTTTCGATTCTTGGACTAAGGCCTTAGTGTCAGCTCCCTACTTCTAAACTCGTCGCGCGTGTTAATTGCCGGTCTCTCTTTCCTACTGTGCAGCGCCTCTAATGTAAGTAACCTAATGCTGCTGGAAGCCTGGTCGATTATTTTCTAATTAAACTCGAACTTACCACTATCACTACCACTATCAGAAATAAATCTGTAACTCCCAAGTGGAAATCATACCTTGCGAAAAGGGTCATCGTGAGATATCTGTGCAAAATCATTTTCAAAATTTGTCGGCAATGCATCCCTGTGATGTGTCTATTCAGCTAGCGACGACCCATTCATCGTGGCGTCTATTTAATACAGGTTTAAATAGACGCCTCGATGAATGGGTCGACGCTAGGAGAATTTCTGAGACTTTCCACATTTTTGGTTTGTACAATTTCGTTTTGACGCTAATTTCATAGTAACATGTAAGTTAATTCAATGTTTTTTGTTTTAGTCAAACTTTTTCGATTCTTGGACTAAGGCCTTAGTGTCAGCTACCTTCTAAACTCGTCGCGCGTGTTAATTGCCGATCTCTCTTTCCTACTGTTCAGCGCCTCTAATGTAAGTAACCTAATGCTGCTGGACGCCTGGTCGATTATTTTCTAATTAAACTCAAACTTACCACTATCACTACCACTATCAGAAATAATTCTGTAACTCCCAAGTGGAAATCATACCTTGCGAAAAGGGTCATCGTGAGATATCTGTGCGAAATCATTTTCAAAATTTGTCGGCAATGCATCCCTGTGATGTGTCTATTCTGCTAGCGTCGACCCATTCATCGAGGCGTCTATTTAATACAGGTTTAAATAGACGCCTCGATGAATGGGTCGACGCTAGCAGAATTTCTGAGACTTTCCACATTTTTGGTTTGTACGATTTAGTTTTGACGCTAATTTCATAGTAACATGTAAGTTAATTCAGTGTTTTTTATTTTAGCCAAACTTTTTCGATTCTTGGACTAAGGCCTTAGTGTCAGCTACCTTCTAAACTCGTCGCGCGTGTTAATTGCCGATCTCTCTTTCCTACTGTTCAGCGCCTCTAATGTAAGTAACCTAATGCTGCTGGACGCCTGGTCGATTATTTTCTAATTAAACTCAAACTTACCACTATCACTACCACTATCAGAAATAATTCTGTAACTCCCAAGTGGAAATCATACCTTGCGAAAAGGGTCATCGTGAGATATCTGTGCGAAATCATTTTCAAAATTTGTCGGCAATGCATCCCTGTGATGTGTCTATTCTGCTAGCGTCGACCCATTCATCGAGGCGTCTATTTAATACAGGTTTAAATAGACGCCTCGATGAATGGGTCGACGCTGGGAGACTTTCCACATTTCTGGTTTGTACAATTTCGTTTTGACGCTAATTTCATAGTAACATGTAAGTTAATTCAATGTTTCTTGTTTTAGCCAAACTTTTTCGATTCTTGGACTAAGGCCTTAGTGTCAGCTCCCTTCTTCTAAACTCGTCGCGCGTGTTAATTGCCGGTCTCTCTTTCCTACTGTGCAGCGCCTCTAATGTAAGTAACCTAATGCTGCTGGAAGCCTGGTCGATTATTTTCTAATTAAACTCGAACTTACCACTATCACTACCACTATCAGAAAAAAATCTGTAACTCCCAAGTGGAAATCATACCTTGCGAAAAGGGTCATCGTGAGATATCTGTGCAAAATCATTTTCAAAATTTGTCGACAATGCATCCCTGTGATGTGTCTATTCTGCTAGCGTCGACCCATTCATCGAGGCGTCTATTTAATACAGGTTTAAATAGACGCCTCGATGAATGGGTCGACGCTAGCAGAATTTCTGAGACTTTCCACATTTTTGTTTTGTACAATTTCGTTTTGACGCTAATTTCATAGTAACATGTAAGTTAATTCAGTGTTTTTTGTTTTAGCCAAACTTTTTCGATTCTTGGACTAAGGCCTTAGTGTCAGCTCCCTACTTCTAAACTCGTCGCGCGTGTTAATTGCCGGTCTCTCTTTCCTACTGTGCAGCGCCTCTAATGTAAGTAACCTAATGCTGCTGGAAGCCTGGTCGATTATTTTCTAATTAAACTCGAACTTACCACTATCACTACCACTATCAGAAATAAATCTGTAACTCCCAAGTGGAAATCATACCTTGCGAAAAGGGTCATCGTGAGATATCTGTGCAAAATCATTTTCAAAATTTGTCGGCAATGCATCCCTGTGATGTGTCTATTCAGCTAGCGACGACCCATTCATCGTGGCGTCTATTTAATACAGGTTTAAATAGACGCCTCGATGAATGGGTCGACGCTAGGAGAATTTCTGAGACTTTCCACATTTTTGGTTTGTACAATTTCGTTTTGACGCTAATTTCATAGTAACATGTAAGTTAATTCAATGTTTTTTGTTTTAGCCAAACTTTTTCGATTCTTGGACTAAGGCCTTAGTGTCAGCTACCTTCTAAACTCGTCGCGCGTGTTAATTGCCGATCTCTCTTTCCTACTGTTCAGCGCCTCTAATGTAAGTAACCTAATGCTGCTGGACGCCTGGTCGATTATTTTCTAATTAAACTCAAACTTACCACTATCACTACCACTATCAGAAATAATTCTGTAACTCCCAAGTGGAAATCATACCTTGCGAAAAGGGTCATCGTGAGATATCTGTGCGAAATCAATTTCAAAATTTTGTCGGCAATGCATCCCTGTCATGTGTCTATTCTGCTAGCGTCGACCCATTCATCGAGGCGTCTATTTAAACGTGTATAGTGCACAAAAAACTGAATCTGGGTAGATCTCAATAGTTCGCATTCTTCTGGCGCGTCAAGATTTTCACGAGTCTCAAGAATCTGCGCATTCCTGTACACGCCATCACGCGACTTCACAAAGTATTGCCGATCTAAGAGAATCGTGTTTTCCGTTAGATTTAACTGAAACAATATCCCGTTTCGTTACCGTACCGTGAACACCACTTCATAACAAACTCTTTTTCAAAAAAATGATAGAAAACACTGATTTGAAATAACCAAAATTCAGCGACTACTTTTTGTTTTGGAATGACGCAAAGAGGAACCCCGTGAATGAAAAAACAGTCACTGAAGAAGAAACGATCTAATCAGACAGCCTGCATTTCTCAATTACTATCAGACTACGCAAAGCTCATCCATTAAATTACCTATCAATTTTTTGCTGTCACTGAAGTCCTCACAATTTTAAAAAAGAAACGATCGAAGAAACTTTTGCCTCCTGAAAAATCGACTTTATATGAGTGAATTCGGCATGAAAACTGAAAAACTGTAGGGAACTGAAAAGTTGAACTGAACTTCCGAGCAATTTACTTAACACAGTTGTAATTCAAAAACAGTTTGTCACAAATCGATTCAATTAATCAACAAAAAGTACAGATATAATAGACGGATGCCTGAAAAAAAAGGTGGTCATTTTATAAAAGGTGGTTCAGTGAATTTCAATTTTTGCGAAGCTCTCACAAAATTATGTCAAAGAAAACTCCACAAAAAATAATTTACATAAGGTGATATAACCGTCCGAGTACAGGTAACGAAGAATAATTCAAATGCAACAAAAATAGTTAATAATATGAAGTGAGTGTAAGTCACGCAATTGTTTGTTGAATTATGTAATTGAAACAAACATTACGAGAGTCGCGTAGAGCTACCTTGTTCCTGTTAGAGATCAACGCAATGCATGGCAGAATCAAAATTTTATCTGGAACAGTTGATTGGGAGAATCGGCTGTTTCATAGGATTAACGGTCTTATGTGACAGAATAAACGAATTAGGAATTCGGTTTTAACTGACATGTGAACTTTTAAAAATTCTTTTGTAAAGACACGCGACCATTTTTGAATGCAGCGAAAATCAGTAGCACAATTTTCGCTGGTCGGAATAAGACCGAAATTTTCCGCGGAAAAAAAAACCAACAGCAGATAGAGATTTACTATCGAAGATATTAGACGAAGAGCATTCCGAATTGTAACGATTGTGCAGCTACAATTGTTATGGAGTAGTTTCCGAGAACTGGGAGGAGTATTGGGAGGATTTCGCTACCCTTCTTGATCAACAAAAAGACATCTCTTCGTCCGGATTCAAGAATCCGGAAGGATCTTGGCAAGAGACTTGAAACTCAGGTTAAACTAATTTTAGCTTCCGGAAATGTCCTGAATTGAAACAAATAACATCAAATTAGTTTTCAGATAATGAGAAGCTACTCTTATGTAACAATTTTATTCATTTAGTCACAAATTTCTGACTTTTCACCTTTTTTGTTTTTACAATTTCGTTTTGACGCTAATTTCATACTAACATGTAAGTTACTTCAATGTTTTTTGTTTTAGCCAAACTTTTTCGATTCTTGAACTGTAGCCTTAGTGTCAGCTCCCTTCTTCTAAACTCGACGCGCAAGTTAATTGCCGGTCTCTCGTTCCTAATGTGCAGCGCCTCTAATGTAAGTAACCTAATGCTGCTGGACGCCTGGTCGATTATTTTCTAATTAAACTCCAACTTACCACTATCACTACCACTATCAGAAATAAATCTGTAACTTCCAAGTTGAAATCATACCTTGCGAAAAGGGTCATCGTGAGATATCTGTGCAAAATCATTTTCAAAGTTTTTGTCGGCGAGGCATCCCTGCGATGTGTCTATTCTGCTCGCGTCGACCCATTCATCGAGGCGTCTATTTAAACCTGTATAGTGCACATAATACTGAATCTGGGTAGATCTCAATAGTTCGCCTTCTTCTGGCGCGTCAAGATTTTCACGAGTCTCAAGAATCTGCGCATTCCTGTACACGCCATCACGCGACTTCACAAAGTACTGCCGATCTAAGAGAATCGGGTTTTCCGTTAGATGTAGCATTTAACTGAAACAATATCCAGTTTCGTTACCGGACCGTGAACACTTCTTGAAAAAAAATTTTTCAAAAAAATGATAGAAAACAGATTTTAAATGACCAAATTTCAGCGACTATTTTTTGTTTTGGAATGAGGCAAAGAGGAAGCACGTGAACGAAAAAACAGTCACCTGAAGAAGAAATGATCTGATCAGACAGCCTGCATTTTTCAAGTACTATGATACTACGCAAAGCTCATCCATTAAAATACTTATCAATTTTTTGCTATCACTGAAATCCTCACAATTAAAAAAAAAACGATCGAGGAAACTTTTGCCTCCAAAAAATCGACCTTATATGAGTGAATTCGGCATGAAGACTGAAAAACTGTAGGGAACTGAAAACTTGAACTGAACTCCCGAGCAATTTACTTAACACAGTTATAATTCAAAAACAGTTATAACTCAAAATTCAATCACAGTTATAATTCAAAATAGACGGATGCCTGAAAAAAAACAGGTGGTCATTTTATAGATACACAACAAAATGTTCAGTAAGTTTCAATTTTTGCGATGCTCTCACAAAATTATGCCTAAGAAAACTCCACAAAAAACTAATTCACATAAGGTCATATAACAGTCCGAGAACGAGTAACGAAGAAAAATTCAAATGCAACAAAATTAGTTAATAATATGAAGTGAGTGTAGTCACGCAATTGTTTGTTGAAGTATGTTGTTGTTGTGGCTTTCCAGTAGAATACTGGTGCGAATTTCTTCCACAGAGTTTATAATATTGTCCAGTTATTTTTTGTAACATTCGCCCGGAAGTACATATCGACGGAAAATAGAGCCAAGCTATAAAACGACTGGCTAGCGTCTAAACAAAGCTCTACATGCTTTTAACTGTCTCTACCAAAGCCAGTTCTTTTGGTGGTCTTTCTAACATCGGGTCGACAAAAACGTTACTGATTTCGGCTTCGGTCAAAACACTCAAATTAACTTAATTACATACAGAATTAGTGAGCTCATGGCTGGGTCTCAGTATCCCCAGACCACGATCACTCCTAAAATCAGGGCTACTACTATTGTTGTTGTTGTTGTTGTTGGGGATTCACAGCACTGCTGTTGGGATTCTTGGTCCCGGCGTCTTCTCTAAAACAATGTCCACTTGTTTCTGCACGTGATACAATCACAGAATAATTGCCACGTGCACGCTGTCATTTCTGAAAATCTCTCGTTTACAAATTTCCACATCGTGTTTAAAATTCTCGTCTTGAGGCCGATTCGTTTATCAAAATGAATATATGGTTCTAATCGATTTACAATCCTACTGGTTCTGAAAACAAATGCGTTTCTCGCTTTTTCCGTTCTCACTTTTCGCATCTCAAAAATTTCTGTATTTCTAGCCCGTGTGGTTCGCCTGTTTAACACTATTTCATTTCGTTCATTAGAATCAAGACTGGCAAGAAGTAAGATGTTATTTAGCTGGATGAACATGGGCAGGGGTAAAATGTATAGCAAGCGTAGTTCGTTGATGTACACTCCCGTTTTATTTCCAGTGATCCAACGGATTACTTTCTTTTGAAATCGCTCCAACTGCAATTGATCCCCCCTCGATATATGTGTACATGAGAGTCCGTATAATAACACTGGAAGTATTAGTGACTTATACAGGCCTAACTTTACAAACGTATTTATCTTTGCTGATAGGTTTCTTCTCAGGAGGTACAGTACTTGGTTTGCCGTCTTTAATCTTGTTTCAATGTGTACCTTCCAATTTAAATCGCCCGACACAAAAATTCCCAGCTCTTTCACAACCATCGATGTTTCAAGCACTTCACCAAAAAGCATAGAGTTAGCGTCTCCGCCCCTAAAACTTACTTTTGCACATTTATCTAGTGCTAATTCCATTTTGTTTTCAGTTACCCACTGCTGAATTTTGTCCAGATCCTCTTGAATTTCAATTGATGTTTTTTTGATGGAAAGTAGTTTAAGATCATCCGCAAAAATATATGGTTCAGAGAATTTGAGTACTTCAGGTAGGTCGTTAATAAAAATGCAAAAGAGCAGTGGTCCTAAAAGTGATCCTTGGGGAACACCACTAGTGACTTCTAAAACTTTTGAGCTGATATTGTCTACTCGTACAAACTGTTTCCTGTTTTTCAAATAGTCATAGAGTACCTCTAACATGCAGCCTCCTATTCCTATAAGTGCAACTTTCTTAAATAGATCAAAATGCGGAACTTTATCAAAGGCTTTTGCAAAGTCAGTGTAGAATGCTACAATTTCTGCGTTTGAGTCATTGTCAAGCGCTTCATATATTTCTTTCAGGAAAGAGAGCATGTTTGACAAAACTGATCTACCTTTAGTAAAACCGTGTTGATGTTTCGTCAAATACCAGGCAAAGTAAGGGTACAGGTCTTTGTATATACATTTTTCAAGGACTTTGCTGTCAATATTTAATAGCGATACTGGTCTATAGTTGTTCACCATTTTTCGGTCACCTTTTTTGTGAACAGGATGTAACATTCGCCCGGAAGATACATATCGACGGATAACAAAACTAAGTCTTAAGACGACTGGCTAGCGTCTAAACAGAGCTTTGCATGTTTTTCACCGTCTCTACCAAGCCAGTACTTTTCGGTGGTCTTTCTTACATCAGGCTGACAAAAACGTTACTGTTCTCCGGCTTCGACCAGAACGCTCAAATTAACTAGATTACATGCAAAAATAGTGAGCTCATGGCTGGGTCTCAGTATCCCCAGACCACGAGGTCACTCCTAAAAACAGGGCTACTACTTATTATATTACTATTGTTTTTGTTCAGTAGATAAAAATCATCATCTCCATCGAAGATGGATCAACCCTTTCCCCCCTACTTCTAGCTCCTCATTCTTGTCAAAACGAATTAAGATCTTAATTAAATTCAAGTCAGGACATGACGGATGCTAAAATTCAATATAAGTTCATAAAAGTCCACGTCCCGAGACCCTTCCGGATTCTTGAATCCGGTGAATCAAGCTTCTTAATATCCAGTTCACAATAACTCGGAAGGCTGGGTTTTACCCTTCACCGTTGCTCGCAACGGCCTTGCAACTATTGTAACAGCACAATAGTTGCAACTCGGAACGTCCTCTGCTGTTCGGTAGTTCGTTGTAGTTTTTTTGTCTCGATTTCGTACTGTTCGTAATCGCAGATAAAAGTTGTTCTGTTTTTTCTTGCTCTTTTAGCTAAAAATGGCCGTTTCTGACGCTTCTCAGAAATATGACGTCATAATTCGAATTTTTAAAAATTAGAATTCCAGAATCTTCTAGCCTTCACCGTTTGGCTAATCGTTCAAATAACGTCCTTATCCGTTCTAAATCGCCAATTCGGAAGGCTTGCTGCTAAAATACCGAATTCTGCAGAGACTGCATTTTGGCCATTCTGGTCGAATGTCACATACTCCCCGGACAGTCCGGTCAATGTCCTCATTGAATCGCGCAATGTTCTAAGTGGTTACAGTGTCATCGAACAGAATTTACAAAATGCACGAAATTACTTTTACCTACGTCACATCGACTCACTGCAGAATATAAATGGCATCATCCTACATCACTATAGCCTTCAAATTCTTTCATTAATCTGCACATTGAGGATATGACTTAAGATAAAACATATTTTCTGACTTCCAGTGTCAATATCCCGATTGAAACTTTTTCTCCTAGATTTAAAAGGTGTTGGCTTGCAGGACAGTCCTGCCAACCAGCAAGCTAAAATTATCCTACTATGCTCCTTCCCTTCGGAAATCTTGCTTGTTTATTGTCCTGAATATTAAAACTAAGGAACTTTGTGGTTAGAAAGAACAATGCAACAACCTCCCTCCTCAAGAAGTTACTCAAGTTTTTCATGTCACCACAAAGTGATCAGTCTTCCTAAGTGATTAAAAACAATCATGCAGGCTGGAATATTTAAATATACTCTTCCCTCAAGCCTTTCTAAATAAATAATAAGTGAGTGCCTCTAAAGCCACTTCAACTAAAACCAAAATGCAAATTTATAAATGCAACAATTTCCAAACTCAACTTAAATGTTTCAGTTTTCAATTACAACTTGGTTGCTTGGTTTCTCATTTGAGTTTTTCACACACATAAAACAATTTTGAGTTTTAACTTTTCTTCATCATCCCTTTGTTCTCTTCTTTTTTTGTCGTTTAGAAGTTCTAAAACTTCTAAATTCTTCTAATTTTCTTTCTTGTTGCCTCTTGTTTTCTCGACCATTCCTCAATGCTCCATTTCCTCCTCCTGTGACGCTGACTCTGCACTCTCGGTCTCCGTGTCTTGTAGCACGTCATTGACTATCCTGACGCTGTTGGAAGCCGTCCTCCAACACTTCTGCTCTTCCACCCTCTGTTTACAGCAAGGTAGGGGATCCACGTTTGATTCTCTGTTTCTACAGAAGCTGTTGTGGAGACACAACGTCACGTTTCTCTCCAAATCTTCTTTCAGCATCTCTGCCTTCTCATTTCCACTACGCTCGCTCGTCCTGGAAATTCTTTTCACAGCGGTGGTCACTGCATTCCGATGGGTCACGAAAGCTCGCTTGAAAGCTCCTGCCCCAATGTCCAGCTGATATTCACTGTACACTCTGCCATGTTTCGACATATGCTTTTTCGCATACTCGTACAACCATGCAGTCATGTTAGCTCTGAACCATGGCATCAATCGTTTTCTTGCCCATATCTTCTTCACTTCCATCGGAATGTTTAGAACTTTGCACATTGTCTCAAAAAGATCTAAATCTTTTAGACAATCTAATTTCTGCAATTGTTCTCTCGTCGGTGCTTCCTGTCTATTATTTTCTCTCACATGAGCTTCCAGCCATCGTATCGCCATCATAACTCCCACTATCACTATTGTTATGGGCTGTGATGAATCTGGTAAACCCATGGAGAGCAGCTCTCCAGAGTCCCAGATCAACACCAGATTACTACGCTTGGGATACCACCAGGTCTGCAGCAAGCAGTGGCAAGGAAACTCATCATGCGT